TTCAGTTCATTCTGTAGCTGGCTAGGAACTCCTGAAGGTTTTTTAAAAAGGCAATTAATGACAAGGGGAGAGTTGTACAGTAGAAAGATTAATGTGGGAGCATATGTAAAATGAATGAGTGTGGAGACAGACTGGAGGTGCAGATGCCCATTAAGAGGCCATTTCAATGGCTCAGGTGAGAAATGAGGACAACTGAACTAGGACAGTAGCATGGGGGATTTAGATAAGAAAGTGGATCTGAGACATTATGAAGATAGAAAGAAGGGGACAAATTGTACGTGGATGATGGCGAAGAGGAAGTAGATCCTCATGGCCCCAAGCCTGGGTGCCGAGCAGGGATTTAATGGGTGCTTCCCCCGGTTGATCTCCTGACACTGCACTGTGACAGCCTGAGCCCACTTACATACGTGCCTGTATGTGGGCGATAGCGGAGCCACATTCAGTGGTTGGTGATGCTGATGTGGCTCTCGCGCCACTCAAACACCAAAGCACGCCAACATCCATGGTTGACCAGGGGGAAAGCATGAGGACAATCTTCAGAAGACCTGAATTGGAATTGTGGCTCTCCCATGAATCTGACATATGACCTTAGGTGAGTGACTCTCATGACTGAGCTTTTGAACCCTCATCAGTAAAAGAGAGACAAAAACCTCTATCGGTGCTTAATGCTCACGGATTTTGTGAGGTCCACAAAGCTCTTTAGAAATGGAAAAACCTTGTCCAAAGGGGAATTACTAATAGTACTGTCACTGGTTTCCTCAAGCAATTTCTTCCATCCTCATTGTTATACACACCCAGGTATTAGCACCTGACCTGAGGCATATATCTTCACCCATCTTTCTCCCCACCATAACCATCTCTTCTTTTTTGTTTCTCTGAACCTGGAATTGAGAGATATTTAGCACAGGGATTACCGTAAAGATAGTTCTTTCCAAAATGCCACCAATTCTGTGGAGTACACCTAATATATATGTCCCTCTCTTTTCCTCAATAAAAAGAAATTTAAACATTTTGAGATTACTTGAATGTTTGAAATGCTACTATGTAATCCTTCTCAAATATTTTCTTAATCTTAACAATTTACAAGTCTTGAGAACCCTTCAACACTGACACCAACAGTTCATTACTTTTACTCTCTTCTCTGACCCATTAAATATCCCCCAGATCAAAAACTAAATGAAGAGCAGTGATCTGTTCTAACTCTGAATAAGAAAAGCTTTGTGTTAGATTTATTGAAAGCTGGTTTATTGATCTCCAAGGTCTCACTTTCCTGAAGGATTTGCCAAGGAAATTTTAAGAATAGATGATTTTAGAATTTAACCTGACCCCTACACTAGAAGGGTCTCTACAGCTTTCCTGAGATGCAAAGCACCAGTGCCTTTCACAAACGACGAAGCAAAGAGCTGTCTCTTCAACAAAACTGAGGCTGATATAGATTAGATTTATGACAAGGACGTGGGTGCTAAAGCTGCCCTGCCACTGTGGATTTGAGAGCGACGACCAGCCTCCAGGTCCTGGCTCTGGGCTTGCAAGCTAACTCACCTTATGTGAATATTGGAGAAAATACACATCCCAGGCATGTGAAGATAACACACAGGAAGAGAGTTCTGTTACTACACAGCAACTGGCAGATACCAGCTTTTATATAAATAGCAAAGAGGAGAGATTCCACTGTGTCTTTAAGTGGATTTCCAGTGAGAAGGGAACATTTCTCTCTTATAAAGACTTGCTTAGAACAATATTTTTCAAGGAACACAGCTCAGATGGTACAGGAAACACATTACGGTCTAGTGTAGCAGGCAAATTCACTGCTCAGCACAAACACAATCACGATCCCTCAAGCTGTGCAGCTTCTGATTTTGTCTCCTTCCTTTCTTCATTCTTCCTTCTTTTTCTTTTTCTTTTCTTTCTTTCCTTCTACTTTCTCCTTCCCTTCTTCTCCTTCTTCTTTTATACTGCACTATGATGTAGGAAACTGAAAGCAGCTCATCTCAAATACAGGAGAAATCTATTTCTTTCACTTTGTAAAAACGTTTTCCTTCGTGGGTTAAATGCCAAATTCCTCAGAACGTCTCAATGTAACAAGAGATAATTGTTTTAAGGCATGAAGGCAAGTTTTCCATGAGTGACTAAAGAATTGGAAATAAATGGGAGCCAGTGAAAAAGCTGAATAGTCCTCACTTGGCAATTATTCAGCCCTTGGAAATTTCCAAGCCCTTTGCAATCATTAATTAATTAGTGAAGATGACATTCCACTTGACTGATGCTAGAAACGTGACAGAAAGAAGTCTAGAGGCTTCCCTCAAGCTGAAAGAGGAATGTCAAGGGAGGAACTGGGATTAGAATTAGGAGCTCATTTCTCAAGCCAGTAGTCACATCATTAAGCCACACAGAGTCAATATCGGGACAATAAGATCCTCTGTGCACAGGTGCAGTTGAATACAGCATCGTTCTGCTCAAAGACCAACTGTGAAAGAGCCCACCCCTTCATCCACCAGTGCCTCCACAACACACAGAGAATATATCTGTAGCTTCGTCAGCCTCTTTCCCCTTTCCCAGAACACAGACAGATGGCTAAATATCAACCTCTAACCATTCTCCTTAATAACCACAGTGACAAGTACATGATTTGATTTTCATTTTTAAAAGGCACAATATGATGTTAAAACACGACACTGTTGAGAAACAAATATTTCAAAATTTTAAAAAAATGACATGAAATCCACTGACATCCAGAATCCCTAAAAATGTAATAGATCATCTTGGATAATTACTTTAATAAGAAGGAAGATAAAGTTTCATGCTTTCTGGTAAGTGGTTACTAAAAGTTCATTCTGTCACCCCGAGTAGGTTGGTGAAGTCAGATCAACTGCTAGTGATGTGGCTGGACCTAACATCTTAGTTCCAGGTCTTGCAGTGGGAGCTAATTCTTTTTCCTGCACCACTGGATTGGTTCCAAACCTTGAAGAGGGACTATCCAGAGTGCCCAGTGACATGATGGGAAAACAGGAAACGCCGAGACTGTCTCAGTACTTCTCACCAGATTATTCCCTCCACCTAGACACTCTTTTGCTCTGTCCCATGTCTGTTTCCCCAGGTGGGGTGAGAAGATCCTTAAACAACTCAGGGCCCATCTCTTTCCCTTAGGAACATCACTCAGCCATCCTGTCAGACAGGCTGCTTCGGACAGGACAAAAATGCATAACTATTTGAACTTAAGTGTTGATGGCAATTGCCCCAAACTAAACTTTGAATCTTCCGTAGGGGAATTTGTTGTGGTTGTACCAAGGTAAGGTAAAGTTGAATAACCCCATTTTTTCTGAACTAGTTGTTTTTGGGGCCAGGAGAGGCTAATGCAAATATACTGTAATGTTAACTAAGGGCAAAACTGTCCAGCTTATAGTTATTTTGGACAAACTTTATTTAAAAACAAAACAAACAAAAGAACCCTCAATTATATTTCCTTTCATAAAGAGATTTTGGAAAGAAAGGCCTTCCAAAAGTAATGTTTCCAAAACACAGCATTGCAACTTAGAATTTCCATGTTGGAAACAATCATGGCTGGCCCACTTTCATGCAACGGGCATTCATAAGGTTGGTGGATGCCTCTAGCTATTCACAGGCCCCAGTTGCTGGGAAGAGTTCTTTTCCTCTAAGGAACCTAAAATTCATTTGGAGCACCATGAATAGAGCAGATCTTTTCACGTGACAATAGTGGTTTAGTAAACACCTTACTCAGAGAGCAAGGATCTGACAAATTTTTGTTATAATTTTAAAAATGTGAATGGATATGTCTGTAAATTGAAAATCTCAAATGGGTAAAGGATTAAAAAAAATATATAGTCCAAACTTCTACTCAATCCATCTCTCCAAATTACCATTCAACTTCTAGCTAATCAAGGGTTCCCCAATTTCTGATTTCTTACAGCTCTGACTAAAAGGAAGGGAGAGCTCAGGTCCAAACCAATGGGTGGAAACTAGCTTGGTTTCTCCATCTCATCCCTTGCAAGTAATTCTCCCTGGTTCTTCTCGTCATGGTGGGAGGAAACATTATCATGTTGGTTCTAATACTCATGGAAAATCCAAGTTGTAGGTGAGTAGGTATGTGTAGTATTGTATCTTACCTATTCACAGAAAGTAATCGAACATTTTGACTTAAAAGACACACATGCTTGCAATTAAATCAAACAACGAAAGAGATAAATGTAAAAAATTTTTAAAAATCGCCTAATAATTTTAATAATTGCCCCTCCAGGTTAAAGCCTGGAGAATAAGATTCTTCCTGGAGGATCACTAATGTGGATAAACAAGGGGTGATAAACAAGGGGTGCCACTACACTGCAGCCCCTTCCCCAAAGAAACTAGACAAGGTGCCTGCATTACCTTAGATCCTCTTGGCCTCACCCAGCTGCTGGGCCCTTGGCCACTTGTTCTGCCCCAGCTCCCACTGTGGTACCAACTTTGCTTGGGTTCTGACCACCTTCACATGAGGCTGACCTGACAGCAGCTCACCTCATGTTGCCCTGTACACGTCTCACCTCCACATCTGAAGATTCCCTGTCCCTGCTGAGACATGAGATGCTGCGGATCTATTTAGTGCCCAAGTAAATACAATATCTAAGTGTGAGGAAGTTTCTGATCCACAGTGGGAAGCTTTGCCCAATAGGAGACAAGAACTGGAAGATAAATTATTTTCCCTTCCTCCCCCCAAACAGATTGTCCTGAGTTGCTATGGTTCACGTGGTCTTTTGGAAGATGATCCTTCAAGACTGAACAATTAGTTGCACTTGATACTAAACAGTAGCCATATTGGTAACATATCTCCATATCCCCAAATAAGATTTCCCCCCTTTCCTGCTTCACTCATGCTTCACTGAGATTACATTTTCTAATGAAATAAAAGTAGCACATACACTTTTGCCTTAGGTTCTGATTTCTGGGGAAGGCAGGCCAAGATAGGCACGCCTTTATTCCCATCACTGTGTTAATGAGTTTCCTACCTTTGCTTGCAGTGGTGGTGCACAGGGGACTGAAACAGGATCTGTGATATAGGTCTTCTTAGGACCAGCAACTGGATACATCGCAGCAGCGTTCTGGTTCCCTGTTCCAGAAGGAGTATACCCTTGTTCCCGCTTCCAGGTATTTGGGTGACCTTGTTGACCATAGGCAGGATCAGGGTCATTTTTGCCCCCATAGCCAGGCCCTGCTGGGCCATAGGCTTCATAATAGCGTCCTTGGTTGGGGGCATACCCATACCCAGGCTCAGGTTGAAGTCCTGGTGGTGGAACATATGTATAATCCACACCTCCCCGGGTTGAAGGAGGTGGAACCTGCCCAGAAACAGGAACTGGTTGAGTGTTATAACCCTGGGGCCCTGGCCCCAGACCATAAAATTGTCCTGGTGAAGGGGCAGCCATGTAATGAGAGCTGGGCTGGGCTGACTTCACTTGCACATTGAAGGTAGGCCTTGAAGGGGTGGATGCCGTAGTGTAGGAGGCTGGGACCGGCTGAGGCTGGGGTTTTAGGGTTCCAATGGGAGCCACGGGGATGGGTCCAGCCTGGGGTGCAGGCTGTGGTTTCAATGTAGACTTTTTGGTTGCTGTTAGAGGAGGTTGATTTGGTATGACCATTCTCTTGTGTCCTGTGACAGGGGTAGAGACTGGAGGAGAGGCTGTTGAACTAGTTGAGCCCTAAAGTGGGAGAGAGAAAAAAAAAGGACAAAGGTTACTGCCAATGAAAAATAAAAATACATAAATGAACAAATATCAATAAGTGCTTTTATTATTTTTGTATTAACTCTGCAAAATACAAATACGGAATGGTTCCTGTCCTCTAAGAGTTCATAGACTAACACAAACATCTGTTGTGTTTCTGTGTACCACCAATGAACAATCGGAAAAGGAAATTAAGGAAACAAATCCATTCACGATAACATCAAAAAGAAGAAAAAATGTTTAAGAATAAACTTAACCAAAAATGTGAAAGACTTGTACACTGTAAAGTATCGAAGGTGGCTGAAATAAAGAAGACACAAACAAATGGAAAGACATCTCGCATTCATGGATTGGAAGACTTAATATCGTAAAGATGTTAATACTACCCAGAGCAATTGCAGATTTAATGCAATTCCTATCAAAATCCCAATGGCACTTTTTTGCAAAAATAGAAAAATCCTGCCTAAAATTCGTATGGAATCTCAAGAGATTCTGAATAGCCAAAACAATCTTGAAAAAGAAGAGCAAAATTGAAGGTCTCACACTGTGCAATTTCAAAACTTATTACAAAGCTACAATAATCAAAACAGCATGGTAGTGGCATAAAGACAGACATATAGACCAATGGAACAGAATAGAGAACCCAGAAATAAACCCTTGTGTATGTGGTCAATTGATTTTTGACAAGGGTGCCAAGACTATTTGACGGAAAAAGGACAGTCTTTTCAACAAATAGTGCTGGGAAAACTGGATATCCACATGTAGAAGAATGAAGTTGGACCCTTACTTTATCCCATATACAAAAAGTCTCCCAAAATTTTAGCTCTAAGTGTAAGAGCTAAAACTATAAAACACTTAGAAGAAAACAAAGGGGAAAAACTTGATGACATTAGATTTGGCAATGATTTTTTTGATATAACACCCAAATCACTAGCAACAAAAGAAAATAACCAAATTGAACATTGTGATCTCAATCAAACTACCCAAAGACTTAGTCACCATACTGCTAAAAGGAGGAACTAGAGAAAGAGGGCTGGAGGACTGGGTAGAGGGAACAAAAAAAGCCAAGTGAGGTGTTGAGAGAAACAAACACCCCTGGCACAACCAAAGAGATGCTAAATTTTAGATCCAAGATTCCCATCAAAGAGTGATTTACCAGAGATAACTCAAATGCAGCCTCTTCCTCCTTTTATATCTTCCTGATTTCTGTTCCATCTATTCCTTTAATTCAGAAATACTTACTGAATGTCCTAAGAAAGTCCTAAGGACACAAGGGTGAAAAGATCTGCTGCCAAACTATAAGACAGCTTGGTTAGGGTGGAGATAAGTAAAGCCTTAAGGAAGGCTTGGAGATTCAAACATTCATCCACAGGCGTTAGTCTATCTGCAAATATACCAGTGACAGAATGTTTTCATTTTGTTCTGTGATACTATGCTTATATTTGTTGATACAACTAGTGAATGACTACACCCTAATTTTGTTGTTTATTAATTTCTAGGCAAATATTAGTACATACAAGAAGAGAGGATGCAAGACTTTCTATTACTCTAGTCTCATTTACCCACACCAAGCCACTAGAGATGTATACATGTGGGACAGATGCTGCTAACCGCTTCCTCATACCCACTTTCCTTCCTCATTACATAAAGAATTTCCATTTTGTTTGGGGCAGCAATGTGCTCACTTAAAACACTTCCCTAGACTACTTTGCAGGTAGGAGTTGCCATGTGACACAGTTCTAGCCAATGAGATATCTGCTAAGCATTTCTGGGAAAACTAGGGCTCTCCTGACACGAGCATCATCTCTTCCTACTTTGTCTTTTTCTTCTTTTCTGCCTGGAATGTGGTTAGGGGGCTGTAGATAGTGCATAGCTATCTTGCTCCCACCATAATATACAAGTCTACTGATTAAGATATATAGCTTTCTGGGAATAGCTTTCTAATAGTGCTCTAGGTTGATTCAGAGATTAAAATGAAAATATCCCCAGGCACATTTGGTTAACATCAAGTGGTTCTTGGTTGGAGAGGAAACCACCTACTGACCAGGGAGAATTTGGAAATGAGTGCAGATATTTTTTGTTATCAAAGTGACTAGCGGATGCTATTATCATTGAATGGGTAGGTGGCAAAACACGGTTATCAAATCCAAGATGGCAACAAGTGCCCATGTTGAGAGTCCCTGATAGACTCTCGGGCCACATTTCTTCTGGCAACCTGACTGTGAAGTTCCCAGCTGTCAGCCAAGGAGGGTCACTGCTGCTCTCTAGGATCTCTCCTCTATAACACTTTCTCTTTCCTGGTTCAACTAACTGCTCTCTCCCCTGGTCCCCTGAGCCTAGAGATGACAGCTCTGACTCTGCTAGCCCCAGATTATCACTCCATCCCTTATGGCTTCTCTACACCCAAATGAGCCTGTTTACACAGCACATTTATAAATCAGCTTCTTGAGAGGAGCTGGTTTCAGCGTGCTATCGTTTTTGTTGGGATCCTGACTGTTACGGCTATTTTTTTCACATATCATGTGTCTCAACTGTAGTTTCCTAGGGATTTTGTAATTCTAGATTTGGTTCTATGTTAAGTTACAGGAGGCTGTTGAACACAGTTATCTCTTTTCCCTTTTTGATACTAGACTTTCAGGAGGCAAACTTGCCATTTACTTTTGTAATTTAAGCAACCTAAAGATTCTTGTCTTGGTGAAGTAGCCTTTCCCTTCTGCATGAAGGTGGTCCCAACAGGACCCACCAGAAAAAGATGCAGTTTCCTCATTAAGCAATTTATTAAAATATACATCCTGAATAAATTCGTAAATAAATATTCAGTTAAGACCCTGACATTCTGTAGTAGAGAGTATGGAAGAGTCAGCCTGAATCTAGAAAAAATGTAAGGTCAGATTTTTCTAGCCAACCATGTCAGTCTTAAAAAATGTCAGCATGGATGGAATTGAATACAAGAAGGAATAAAGCTTTGCTTTTCTTTGATGACTCAAGATCAGCAGAAACCCAGAGTTCCTATTTTGAACACTTTACAAACCCAACTATAAATGGAGACAGTGACTGAGCAACTGGGCTAATGACGGGCAGGCTCTGCTGCAGCTGTAAAGAATTCTGCCCCTAAAACAGACACTTCAAAAGTCACATATTTTGAAAATGAAAACCAATCACATTCATAAAGCAAACCAAAAGGAATTAATGTAGAACTAACTCCTTAGAAGGAAACTTTTTCAACAAATTTCTGTTTCTCTTTTTCTGCTTGGCGAATGAACGCACGCACACACACACACACACACACACACACAATTTAAACATCTTCAAGTCTTTGAAGAAAGGCATCAGGGCACAATTTCAGGAGCCATTGCTTTCTTCTAGGAAATATCTCACTAGCAGGACTCTCTTCGGGGGATGAGAAGGTTTCTCATAACTTGATTATGAATTCTGCTGTGTATGTGCCGGCATGTTTCTGACTACGTGTGTGAAAATAGCACATTTAGTTATATTTTCTTCCTTTGCAATTTTACATTCTCTACCTCATTGGAGGTGGAAGGGGTAAAGAACAGAAATCATTTTAAAGCATATTTATTTATGTTCTTCATGGTTAAAGAAAGCTATGGCAACACTTTCCTGGCCCACATATTCAACTAAATACATAGTGAATCTTTCCTACTTACTGGATTAGTTGGTGCTTCCAAGTATTTATTTTTGGCATTCCATTTCTTTTTGTTTTTGCAGAAATCCTTGAAGTTTTATCATGATTTAACATTTTCATTTTGAAAATCAAGCACATTTAAAAATTACACTCATACAGAGATATATGCATTTTTTTGTGAGTCTTGAATTTTTGTAGCAGTCTTTTTACATGGTTATTTTTCCCTTAATTATTTTCTAAGCATCTTCAGTGTGGAAAGCTCTGTGGGGTTAATGGATGGAGGATGGTATCCTAGGATGAATAGTGCATGTCTCTCGTCCCCCAGGAGTTTATGGTCCAGTAGAGGGCCTAATATATAATCAATAACTGTTGAATGAGTGTCTCCATCAGCAGGCAGAATTGGCTGTGACCATGGGACAAGAATAGACAGGGGCGAGAGCCCCTCTTGTGCTCATCTTTGGGAGCAGGCTCTAAACTTTCTTTTGGCCAAGCCAGGATATCACCTTACATTCCTCTCTTACCCCTGCCTATCTATTCCCTGAACACACCTGCACGAACACACACACACACACACACACAGCCCCCTAACTTAATCTACTACTATGTCTTCTATATAATCCTGATTATTTCTCACATCCCTGCACTTTATTCCAGTCTCACTTTCTCTTCCCTAGTTTTGGTCTTCATCATCACTTCCCTGAGCTATTTATTGCCATTATCTAACCTCACTTCCCTCTCATCTCTCCTCCTCAATACCGCCAACAGTGATCTCTCTAACGTGGACATCTGACCCTGGCTCTCTGCTGATCCAAATTTGCCAAGGACTCTGCCTTGTATTGAACTCTTTTCATTATGCTGTACTCTCTCTCTTTCTGTTTTTGTTTGTTTTTGTTTTAATATACTTTACAAAGATTCTCCAATCTAGCCCTTGCCTCCCTGTCTAGCCACCTCCCTTTTTCCTCCATCACTCACAGCATACACTCCAGCAATATTAAGCTTACGTAGAGACTGGAATAGACCATGCACTTATATCTGTCAGTTAGGACCTCCTTCTACAGTCTCTGATCCATTCTATTTGACTCTCTATCATGCTTCTCCTCTGCTGCTCAAACACAGCCATCTTCTTTCTGCCTGGCATTGCCTACATATTCTTCAAGTCTCAGATCAAACAGTGCCTCTTCTGTAATGTCTTTCTGGACTCCCCTGGAAGAATTTAGAGGTTCTTTCTACAGTCCTTCAGTTATACTCCCAATGGGCTTTGTCCATACCTCCATTAACATAATTACCTTACAATATTTTTATAATGGACTTGCATGTTTTATAAGTTGGGAAG